TGCAGTCGAACCGCAGTGAGATCGCATGAGACCTCACAAGTGCAAGAAGCTGGATGTATTGGTAACAGCCGCGAGTCCTGTTTCCCCGACGTGACCTCACTTGCATCCCGTATTGCACGTTTTCGTCCGCTAGATATTGCACAACTGCACGAGGATCTCGACAAGATCCGCGAGTATACGGTTCAGTGGGAACTCCCGTTGAACCTTAGCACGTGCTGACTGTTGTTGTCAATTGGCACTAATAATCACAGCCAGAGTTCAATCAGGGAGGCCGTCTACTTCTAATGACATACGAGGGCGTAAGGGTCTTAAGAATCGTCACACACGAGTCCTTCAAACCGACATCTCAGTGTCTGGCAGCTGCTGATAAAGGTAATGGAGCACTTTAGCAACTCATGAGGTCTATAGCCTCTCGTTGGGAAAGCGTGGTGGTTCCCTGTTTAAGACCAGGGTGTGGCCACTGTCCTTTTTGTTATTCGTTCTGTTCCCGTATGCTGTTACGTCGTTCTTTTTATTTTTCAGTCCATGTACTGATATTAATAGGCGAGTAAAGCGTATCCTTCCTGTTTGCTGATTCTCTCTCTAATCTCGACCGTACTCGCTTGTTTTCGTCCTTAGCAATTTACTCGTCTATTAATCGATGGACCGTTACCTCCATCCTGAAACATTCGACACAGATTTGAACGCTCCTGACGCTTCAAAACAGTGGACCTATTGGCTTCGAACGTTCAAAGCTTTCTTGAAACGCGTCCAGGCTGAAAATCGAGATAAGCTAGACATATTGATTAACTTATCGCCGACTGTCTATGAACACGTATCAGATTGTAATACCTTCGACGACGCCATATCTACACTTCAATCTTTGTACGTACGTCCCAGGAATGTAATTTTCTCTCGATACCTCCTTGCAGTTCTAATAGTTATATCTTCCAGATAGTTGTCAACTCCCACAGGTTGAAGGTCCAACGGTGTGACTCTCGAATTACCATGGCATCCACATCCCTGTCGTGTGATGTGACCGATTACTGTACCGTAGCAATTCGTTGCCGTGGAGCTCAATATAATAACGTTAAACTTTCTTCAATGCGTAACCTGTGCGCTGACGTCCTTCTTGATCACGACTTTCTAATTCTAATCATAAGAAGAGGATGGTCGTGGATTACAGTCAGACAATCAACCGCTTCACACAGCTACCCAGAATCGCCAAAATGGTTGAACGAATTTCCCGCTACGCTATATACAGTACACTGGATCTAAAAAGTGCATATCAGATTCCAATCGCACATCACGAAAGACCATATACCGCCTTTGAAGTAGGCGACCGACTATGCCAGTTCTGCCGAATACCCTTCGGCGTTATCAATGCCGTTGCGTGTTTCCAACGCACCATTGATGAAATTCTAGCAACCGAAGGCCTAAAAGATACATTCGGCTATGTCGACAACATCACCGTGTGTGGTCTGACTATGGAAGACCACGACCGGAATCACGAACGATTTCTGAAGACCGCCGCCAAGTACAGCATAACATTGATCACTGATAAAACGGTCACGTCCACTAAAGAAATCGATCTTCTCGGCTACCGCATACCCCAGGGCGTAATCAAACCGGACCCCGACCGAATGAAACCATTACGCGATATGCACCATTCGACGAGTCATGGGTATGTTTACATACTATTCGCAGTGGATATCCCACTTTTCAGACAAAATTTATCCCCTTATTAAAACTAAAACATTCCCACTACCGACGACTGTTAAACACATTCGAAAACCTGAAGTCCGATTTAGAAAACGCTATGATTGTTGCCGTAGACTACAATCTTCCGCTGGTTGTTGAGACGAACGCATCGAATGTTGCAATAGCTGCCTCACTTAGTCAGAATAACCGACCGGTAGCCTTTTCCTCACTCACTCTGGCTCCTGGCGAAAAACATCAGTCTGCAGTAGAGAAGGAAGCGTGCGCGATCGTGGAAGCCCTACGCAAGTGGAGGCACTATTTTCTTGGCACCCACTTCGAACTCATCACCGGTCAGCATTCCGTAGCCTTCATGTATGACCGACGACAGACAACTAAAATCAAAAACGATAAAATCCAGAGGTGGCAACTCGAATTATCTGCCTTTCACTACTATAAAGTCTACAGACCCGGAAAAAAATAATCAAGTCGCTGATGTGCTGTCCCACAGTACTTGTGCTTCCAATTTTAACGATACAAAAATGCGAGACCTGCACGATTCATTATGTCACCTCGGAATAACGCGAATGGTGCATTTTGTACGCACACGCAATCTCCCGTATTCAGTCGAGGAAATCAAGAGCATGGTCGCAAAGTGCACTATCTGCGTCAAGCTAAAACCCCGCTTTTTCAAGCCATCTCCCTGCAATCCAATCAAAGCTACACAGCCATTTTAGAGACTAAGCATCGGTTTCAAAGGACCCTTCGACCTCTCGAAACCGGTATATTTTGATGAATATTGATGAATATTCTTGATTTCCGTTTGCTTTTGCACGTCCGGACATGATTTCATCTACGTTCATCAACTGTCTTTGTCAATTATTTGCTATTTTTGGCATACCTGCTTATGTACACTGATCGCGGTCCATCTTTTATGTCCATAGAGCTCGTTCGGTTTCTGCGTAATAAAGGCGTAGAAACTAGTCACACAACTGCTTAAAACCCGCAAGCTAACCGTCAAGTGGAGCGCTTAAACGGTACGCTATGGAAAGCTATATCTCCAGCACTGAGGACTGGAGGTCTACCGACTTCTCAATGGGGAACAGTCCTCTCAGGTGCGTTACACTCTATTCGCTCACTGCTTTGCGTCGCCACCAACGATTGTTTTCTTTCCCGCGGCGTTCGGCCAACCGCCCCTCCATACCGACGTGGTTGACAACTCCAGGCCCGGTGCTGCTCAAACGAATGGATTGATCGAAGTACGACAACTTAGTAGACGAGGTTGATCTCATTATCTGTGATCCTGATTATTCTGTCGTGAAAATGCCCGACGGCAGGGAAGAAAACGTTCCCATTCGACGCTTGGCCCCACCGGGTGATCTACTCGTCTCGAGACCAGAAACTTGCGACCTGCGAGACAGTGAACCAAACACACAGTTATAAACTTCTCCAAGATCAACAGGCAATTCACTTAATCGTGAGATTTTTGACACTTCCCTAGCCCCGACACCTGTATCTGACAATGCATTAGAAATCTTACGACAACAGCAAAGAAGGAGACCTTACAATCTAAGAAACAGGGAAGCTTAGTTATTTTCTTCTATTTCCCTTTTTCTCTCTGCCGGAGCGAATGTCGTGTTTGTTATTCGTTCTGTTTCCGTATGCTGTTACTCACGTCGTTCCTTTTATTTTTCAGCCCACGTACTGATATTAATAGACGAGTAAAGCGTATCCTTCCTGTTTGCGGATTCTCTCCCTAATCTCGACCGTGCTCGGTTGTTGTCGTCCGTAGCAGCCACATCTAGTGTGCTGTGTATAGGCCGGGGCGCCTTCCTTGGAGAAAGAAGTCAAGTTCCTGGAGGCGGTCCAAAGAAGGTTCACGAGAGTCATAGACGGCATGAGGGGGCGGGAGTATACCGAGAGGCTAACGAGGTTAAACCTGTTCTCCCTCAAGAGAAAGAGACTGCGGGGGCTTTCAGGCAGATGACCGGCTCCTCGGTAACAGAAACACCGCTACCGAACCTATGCCACAACACCAATTCGAGGGGCAATGAGGACACACTAACAAAGCCCGGGGGAACAGGAAGTATTCGAGCCGTTCTTTTTTCATCGGGTAATCAGCGCGTTGTTTCGGTTACCGCAGCAAGTGGTTGTAGCTTGCAGTCCTGTCGCATTTAAACACCAGTCGGCTATATTTCTCGATGATGAATAGGCCTGAAGCGGCCCTGAGCACATTTTATTCGAAATTCCCCGTAGAACATTCCTTTGATTCTATAGTATTTATGTTAATTATTTTTGTCATTCCTTTATCCCATCACGATGGGACCGCACCTTGACGTGGTGTGATGGCTTTTACACCCCTGAGACCCAGTCAGCTACACAGTGGCTTTTATCAAGCCAGGAGATCTTATCATGCCTGGAAGATCGATAGTCGAGGTCAGACAGTCAGAAAGTCTCCTGGTTCAACTGTTTGGGGGTTCGGCTCGAGTTAGCGTCACAGTCGGTAAACTGGTAAAGAAGTAATTGATACAAGCAAATGGACATCTACTTCGCTTCACCTGCTGCCTTGCGGTCAGGTTATTGCTAGAACTAAATGCTTTGGACGAGAACTCCTGCTTAGTGGCTGGACATCCTGACGGCACCCGTTCGTCAAATTCTGATTCATATACAAACAAAAATAATTCCATACTTCATCGGTCGTTGCGCAGGATAATCAGGGTCGCTCTGCCCATTGCATCGAGTGGGGTGGATAGTGATAATTGGGCTACTACTCAGACACCCCAACTTTTGTTTAATTCTGTCTTCCGCACCCAATCTTTACCCTTTACTCCTTCTCCCTATACGTAACATTTCGTCAGACAACTTGTTCGTCGCTCGCCAAAGCTCGTTGCCAAGTGGCGCGGTAAATAGTTTACCACAAAACATATTTCTGATTCTGAAGCCTCTTCAATCACTGAATCTGGGGGGCCTTCAATGTGAGGAATTTGATGCGAGTGGGTCAACAAGCGTGTCTGGCTCGTACAGTGTACTCTTTGGGGATTGATGTCTGCTGTGTACGGCAGACGTGAATTCGGGATCCTAGTACCATAAACCACTTAAGCACACACCAGATAACGACGAAGCTCGTTCAGTAGGCAAGCGTAGCGTAGACATTGTACTGGANAAGTAAACCTCACTTATCGATGGGATCCCCGTCAATAGTCGCTTACGTTCGATACGGCTTCAATGGTCTATCAGCATCCGAAAGGTAAGCAACACCAGGTGTTTCTTCATGATTTCAGCGTATGCACCGACCAACTACGGTTCGGACGTACAAAGTGGCGAGTTCTATGATTGACTCACCGGACTCATACAATTGAGCCAATGCTCCCACATACATGTTCTCGCAGTTGATTTTAACGCGCAAGTTGGATAACTGAGCGCAAAGCCTGTCTGGATGGTAGTTGTGCCCTACCCTGCCAACGAACACAACGGCAATCGACTTCTTTCGTTATGTACAGATCATCATCTGTTCCCATACAGCACCAACTTCCGACACAACTATTGACAGACGGCAACGTGTCGCTCCAATTTAACTGGTACGCTAACTCAAATCGACCACATAGCAGCAAGCTACCACTGGCGTGACTCAGCACAAAACTTTGTCCCATTGGATCACCTACGTTGAATCTGATCACGCATTAGTTTTCCTGCAATTCACTCTTCAACTCACTGGTCGCGGAAAACCATACTAAACTCGATTGACAGATCATCGCTTATCTGACCCTGCCGTTCGTGCACGCTATGAATCAGAGCTAGTGCGTGAGCTAAACGCGCCTCAACTTGATAATGTAGATGAGCAGTGGGATCAGATTAGCCGAGCAATGCATTCCGCTGCGAAAGTTGCTTGTGAGTCTGAGCTTCAAGCCCGTTGGAGGCATTGGATATCTCAGGAGTCAGCAGCCCTGATGGAGAAGAAACGACCAATCCCAACCCGTCAAAGATCTACGTCGGCTCCCGAAGAGCCTCAAGAAGGACCGTGAGAACTGGTGGAGAACAACAGCTAGTGAAATGGACGTATCAGCTGCAGCAGGCAATAGTCAAAGACTATTCCGACTGATACGCCATACGGGAATTCGGCGAACTCCAGTCAGTGAAACAGTCTGCGACAAGAGGGAGCAAGCTATTCATAATAGGGATGAACGACTTAATAACTGGGCGGAATACCTCTACGAACAGCTCAGTTGACCCAGCGCCAACCAGACTATCTCGTCTGTTGTAGTTGAGGCTCCGTGGACCTCCTGAAACAGAGGTACGGTTCTGCATCCAAGCCTGAAGAGAAGAAAAGCGGAAGAACCGGACGGGCTTCCTTACAACTAAAGTGGGAGGGGGGGGGGAATAACCACGTAGACTTCATTACTGATTTAATCCATGACAAGAGCGCGCTCCGTTCTCCTCGAGCGAATCACCGATCGTTCCCATTTTCTCGGGAACTCGCAACGACTGCGAGAACCACCGCGTGATAAGTTTGATCCCAATCTTCACCAAGGTATTATCACCCGTCACACTTCCACTTCTGACACCGTTTAGGGAGAAGGCCTCAGTATAGTCGAGGGGGGGAGGTGTCTGAGGTTGTGACTGGTCACCATTCCCTTACATCGCGAAATGCTCCCACATGACCAAGAGTGTCAAATAGCCTCTGCTCACGGAGTCCTACTCATTGCCTTCTCGTAGCGGAGATGTTTTCTCACCAAAGTGAGAGGACGAAAAGCCGATATCCGGGGCTACAACCGGGTTGGTGAACAACTAGCAGGTCACCTAGGTGAGTTGTCTGATTCCAAACCAACCAAGGGGAGGCGTAAGAACCACACACACAACTTCCTGGTTGCGGCAGTTTTCACCGGCTCGATTGAGCACCTTGGACGTCTGATCCCGTCCAAAAGGCGTATGATCCAATAAACTGGATACCGGCCTCCAATGGACTACGGACTCAGAGCTTCCTTCTGTTCTCTTGTAGGTTAGCTTTCTACCCAAAGGCTTGGGGTGGGGACCCCGAGGTCATCTCGCTTCCTCGGCTAGGGCAACCGGAAGGTAACACGCCCACACAACCTATGAACACATTCTACAGTTTTTTGTTCACATGTTATCGCTCATTTACCAGTTCTAGGAAGCTGGTTACGTGTTGAAAGAATAACAATAATGAGAAGAGATAAGTATCCGGCAACAAAAACGGGATTTTGACTAGGACGCAGTTGTATCGATCAAATCTTCGCTCTCCCTCACATCCCCGAGCTACGCCATACACACCGTCGACCAACGGTTGTCGTGTTCCTTGACCCAAAAGGAGCCGTCGACCCATTTGGCCGCTAATCCTTTATCAGTTCGCTCCTTGGTAAAGGAATGTTGCAGAAGTATGTGAACATACTGAGGTCACTGTACTCTCATACTTCTGGTAGCGTAAGAGCCTACGGCGAGCTGAGTACGTCGTTCGAAACTAGCCGAATTCTTGAAACGGTATGTATGCACAGTTAGACTGTGCACTCTGTGTTGACCATGGAGGTTCGCTTTCTTTTCCCGTCCTGAAAAATAAGCCCAATTCCCATCCTCCTTACACATTCTCACTTGCCTTGTATGTATTATGAGTTTGGCAGCGATCAACGAAGTCCGTTTCACTGTATTTCGCTGTAAGATGATGATGATGATGTCCCAATAGGTCCTGTCGTGACACTGGATTTCGTCCGAGTCTCTGTGCCCTTTTCACGTGTACCGATTAATCTTGATCGGCGGCAAGCCTACTGGAGCATGGCTTGTGAGGAGGCGTGAACAACGCAAGTCTATGCAGCGGCCACGGAGTCTGGTGTTCTCAACGCACATAACGGAGCGTGCCACCACCTTGGAAAATTCTAGTAAGCTGTTTCATCTCATTCGAATCACCGGTGAAACAGATATAGCTGTCAGCTCAACGATCTATGAAACTAACGCCTCACTCATTCGCAATCAACAGCGACGTCTAGGCAGAGCACGTTAACTGGTCATCACTGTCAGCTTCACCCACAGTGTATCGACTTGATTGGAAAAATTAATCACGTCACAGATTTTGCTCCGGTTCGGTTCGATTAACTGTGCACCCATGTGACCCATTATACAGATGACCTTTGACATTTGCCCATCATCATACCCCAATTTGGTCCGACGACATACTTTTTGCGTCCTCTACCCTTATCGTCCTTGAACTCTCTCTATCCCACGCTTGCCATTCCCGGGCGTCATTTTTTATTTTTTTATCACACACCTAGGTGTGATGAACAGAAGACGGGGTAAACCCCATAGTCACGAGGACCTGCTGTTCAGTGGTTGAAATCGGCAACCTAAGCCCCGGAACTTGGAGTGGCGAACCACATAAGGCCCCGATAGTTTAGGCGTGGTATCGAACCGGACGACAGCAGAGCTGCCTACCACCAAAGTCGGGTGGCGGTGGCGCGGGCTTAAACCTCGGACCATAGGGTCCAAAGCACGCCGGTGACGGCGACTAAACCACTGCACCACCACCCTGTATCCGTTCCCCCACCCACATTTTCGTTCTAGTACATTGTCATCCCGTCCTCTTTATGTTGACCTTCATATTTGATCATTCGCTTCACTTGCTTAGCGGACTGCTTTGTTCCATAGGATCCCGTGAACCGTTTGTGTCTTGCATTGACCAATGACTGCGCTTCTTTATCGAGCACTTGCGATTGGTGTTTCTATCCCTTAAATCGTCCCTTTTCTAAGCCGAGTTTGCATTCCTTTTGGTGACCGCTCCGCAGGTGCTTTGTTCTGCGCCTTGACCTGCGTTGTATCTCGTTCTTGTACCGTTGAGACTGGGTTGGCCCACAATTTGAGGTATGGTGTTTGTTTTTGTACATATTTGTCTGCTTATAGTACACATAGATAACCCACTTCTCGTTATCTGGAATCGGACTTGGGGTTCGTATCTACGAGTCACTCAACCACTGGACGACAGTCCGGTACACACAGCCTTTCCGGCACATGTCGCGTGGTCTGTGTTGAGAGATGCACCTTTTGAGGCAGATACGTGCGCAGGCTTTCAAATCGTTGAGTTTCACAAGACGTCGGGATCCTATGGTCTTTCCACATCTCAGTTTAAAGATGGTGGAACGATACTTGTTAGAGAACTGCAAGTTATGTTCTCCAAGGTCTTGCACACCGAAAAATTTCCCGCTTGTGTATCATCATCGTCATTATCGTTCAGCTGAATACAGTGAAGCGAATTTCACTGATCCCTGCCAAACTCACAAAGTATATCAAGCAAGTGAGGATATGCAAGGAGGATAGGGATTGTGCCTCTTTTGGAGGACGGGGAAAGAAATTGTTTAGTCAACACACAGAGCACATAGCCCAACTTCATACACACTATTTTAAGCATTCTGGTCGGTTCACTGCCATGACCTTCAGTATCGCCCACCGTCCAGTTACGGAGTCTTTTGGTTCCGTGTTTTTNGCCCATTGTTGTTATCATCTTTGAGGAAGACCCACATAGTGTTTGCGTCGATCACAGGGGGATCTGGCTTGTCCCAATAGCATCTAAGTTGTTAGCTCCCGTCATTATTCGTAGATTGTACAATACGTCTGAGGAGTAGACTGGGTTTCGCGCCAGTCGTAGATGGATCGATCAAATTTTCACCCTCCAGTAGTTGCTAGACAACCGTCATTCTTACCAGAAGATAACAAGCATTGTGTTCTTGGCCATTCGTGCGAACTCTTACCTCAAGGGGGGTTAAGTTCTGTCGTCAGTTCTCACCTGCTCTACACCCCGCGCCCTCTTATCCTTGGGCATAGAGAATACAGAGCGCTTTATCCGGTATAACGAACGGTAGAGTGGAACTTCTCCCAGGGAACGGAATTCCGGAGTTAGAATATGCGATAACATCACCTTTTTGGCTGGCAATGTACAGGCAGTCCAACATGCCTTAAGTTGAGTTATCCACATATGGTGTTCTATCACACATTTTATGTAATGAAATGCAGACGTATTGGAGCACTGTCACGAAGACCTGCTGTTCACTGATGGAAAT